AGTATATAACAATGAAGTTCAAAACAATTAATTATTTTTAATAAATTTTAGCATAACATAAAAATATTTATGATTGAATAACGTACCCTCAGTTGTCACTAACGTTGTCGGCGGTAGAGTCGTAGGAACTGAAATGTATAAACAAATATGATTCACTGCTTATAGAAAAATTAAACAGCAGCTAATTTCTTATGACATAACTCAAAGGAGTAAATCAATGAAAATCTAAATTATTAGTTGTTATTGATAACTTTTAGCATATATAACATAATATTAAGTTAATTAATAGTTGTTATTGATAAGTTTTATCATATATAACATAATATTAAGTTAAGAACGTACCTTCAGTTGTCACAGATGTAGTGGGCGCTAGTGTTGTAGGTTCTAAGAAGTGTAAGTAATGGGATTTAATGCATGTGAAATTATTAAACAGTAGCTCATGTATTACAACACATTTCATAGCAATATAATAATGTAATCAAAACATTTAATTATTATTATTAAACTTAAGCATATACAACATAAGTACCCTCAGTTGTCACTGACGTTGTCAGCATTAGTGTTTTAGGTACTGACAAATATATAAAAAAATTACTTAGTATGTATGTAAATTATAAACAGTAACTAAGTTAGTGTAAAATAATTCAAAGCATATAACAATGAAATTCAAAACATTTAGTTAGTACTAATACGTCTTCGCATAAAATAAGCATATTTTATAAGTTAATAACGTACCCTCAGTTGTAACTAACGTTGTCGGCGGTAGAGTCGTAGGAACTGAAAGGTATAAACAAATGTGATTCACTGCTTATAGAAAAATCAAACAGTTGTTAATTCCCTATGAAATAACTCAAAGGTATAAATCATTATAACATACCCTACTTAAAAGGTATAAAACAATGAAATTAGTATTTTTTTTTTAAATTTTGATAACATTTATAATATATAACATAATAAAGAGTTAACAACGTACCCTCAGTTGTCACTAATGTAGTGGGCTGTAGTGTTGTAGGTACTAAGAAATACAAAAATATTATTTACTGCATACGTAAATATTAAACAGTACTGAACTAATTTATCTTTACATATTTGAAAGATATATAGCAATGAAGTTCGAAACGGTTATATATTTTTGAATAACTTTTATCAAATATAATGTTTTAATGAAATAATTACTTATCCTCAGTTGTAACTGATGTTGTCGGCAGTAGTGTTGTAGATTATAATTGTTGTAAAACTAATTTATCTTTACATATTTGAAAGATATATAGCAATGAAGTTCTAAACGCTTAGTTATTATTGAATAACTTATATTAAATATAATGTATTAATGAATTAATTATGTAAACTCAGTTGTCATTGATGTTGTCGGCAGTAGTAATGTAGATTCTGGGTTGTTGAGAAAAAAATTTATTTACTACGTATGTAATTAATAAACAGTAACTAATTTATTATAACATATTTCAAAGTATATAACAATGAAGTTCAAAACAATTATTTTTAATAAATCTTAGCATAATATAAAAATATTCATGATTGAATAACGTACAATCAATTGTCACTGACGTTGTCGGCAGTAGTGTGATTGGTATTAAACAATGTAATTCACTGCTTATGGAAAATTTAAACAGCAGCTAATTTCTTATGACATAACTCAAAGGCGTAAATCAATGAAAATCGAAATTATTAGTTGTTATTGATAATTTTTAGCATATATAACATAAAAATAAGTTTAGAACGTACCCTCAGTTGTCACTGATTTAGTGGACGCTAGTGTTGTAGGTTCTGAGAAGTGTAAGTAATGGGATTTAATGCATGTGAAATTATTAAACAGTAGCTCATGTAATATAACACATTTCATAGCAATATAATAATGTAATCAAAACATTTAATTATTAATAACTTTAAGCATATACAATATTAAGTACGTACCCTCAGTTGTCACTGACGTTGTCGGCTGTAGTGTTGTAGGTACTGAGAATATAAAAAGAAATTACTTAGTATGAATGTAAATTAAAAATCAGTAACTAATTTATTGTAAAATATTTCAAAGTATATAACAATGAGGTTCAAAAACATTTAGTTATTATTAATAAGTTTTAGTATAATATAAGCATATTTATAAGTTAATAACGTACTCTCAGTTGTCACTGACGTTGTCGGCGGTAGAGTCGTAGGTGCTGAAAGGTATAAATAAATATGATTCACTGCTCATAGAAAAATCAAACAGTAGCTAATTTCTTATGACATAACTCAAAGGTATAAATCAATGAAAATCGAAATTTTTAGTTGTTATTGATAACTTTTATCATATATAACATAATAATAAGTTAAAAACGTACATTCAGTTGTCACCGATGTAGTGGGCGATAGTGTTGTAGGTGCTGAGAAGTGTAAACAATGGGCTTTACTGCATATGGAAATATTAGACTAGAGCTCATGTATTATAACACATTTAAAAGCGATATAATATATTATTTAGATATTATTAATAACATTAGGCATATAGCATATACAACATTAACTACATACCCTCAGTTGTTACTGACGTTGTCGGCGGTAGTGTTGTAGGTACAGAAAGGTATAAAATCATGCGAATTACCGCTAATGTTTCGATTAAACAGTATCTAATTTATTTTAACCTATTGTGCAGTATAAAACAATGAAATAAGAGCGTACCCTAAATTGTTAAAGATGTTTTCGCAATGCTGTTGTTGTAGGTACTTAGAATAATACAAATGTTATTTACTTTTATATGTGAATATTTAACTGTTGCTAATTTATAACATACCATACTAAAAAGGCATCAAACAATGAAATTAGTAACTTTTTTCTAATTTTGATAACATTTATTATATATAACATAATAAAGAGTTAACAACGTACCCTCAGTTGTCACTGATGTAGTGGGCTGTAGTGTTGTAGGTACTGAGAAGTACAAAAATGTGATTTACTGCATACGTAAATATTAAACAGTACTGAACTAATTTATTCTTACATATTTAAAAGATATAATAGCAATGAAGTTCGAAACGGTTAGTTATTATTTAATAAATGTTATCAAATATAATGTATTAATGAATTAATTATGTATCCTCAGTTGTCACTAATTTTGTCGGCAGTAATGTTGTAGATTCTGGGTTGTATAGAAAAAAAATTATTTACTACGTATATAATTAACAAACAGTAACTAATTTATTATAACATACATATTTTAAAGTATATAACAATGAATTTCAAAACATTTAGTAATTATTGATAAGTTTTAGCATAATATAAGCATATTTAAAAGTTAATAACGTACCCTCAGTTGTCACTGACGTTGTCGGCGGTAGAGTCGTAGGTACTG